GCTACCATCCCAGCCGCACCTATTTGTTTCTTCTTCATCACATGAATGCACTCGTGGCCGATAATAATATTATCATAAATGATCCTCCCTGGGATGAACGCAGACTGACTATCAGAGATAATCTCATTTAAAACCGCTTTCATTCTATTTGCCAAGACTTTCGAGATTATGTTATAAGAGACATTGCAAAGACTAATAGGTCTAAAGTCTGACACTTTGCGGGGCTTTGACACTTTCGGGATAAGAGCAATAGCAGTGGAGTTCCAATCTTTGACCAAACGCTTTCTATTAAGAATATCCAAGCAACTTTCCACTGTTTTGTTTCCCACGACACCCCAGTACTTCTGATAAAAAAGAGCAGGGAACCCATCAGGACCAGGGGTTTTTGTAGGATGCATCTATTTGAGAGCCTGCTCAATTTCCACCCAACAGAAGGGGGCTAACAGTCTTGCATTCATCTCCACCGTAACCAATCTCTGAACATTATGCACAATTTTATTCATGTCCTCCTCCCCTGGGTGTGAAGACGAGAAAATTTCCTCAAAATAAGAAGGAAAACACGCCTCCACTTCAGCCATTTCCTCTGTCCATCATTAGTTTCAATTTCAATTCCTCTAATTTCAGTTTTCTTTCTCCTCATGCTTGCACGCTTGTAAAACCATTTCGTATTCTGATCTCCCCAATTAAGCCAATTCCCGCGCAATCTTTGCTTCTAATAGATCTCCCCTGTTTCGAGAACATCATCCAATTCCTACTCCCATCTATGAATTAATTCAAAATCCTAGGGCGAGGGACTCTTATAAATACTAGATAGAGTTGAGCGAATTTGGACAATCTTCTTTTTGAAAAACTTGTTGAAATCTCTACCCCACGGCCCCAAATCGACAGCACATCTCTTCAGGCAATCTGCAAGACTACCATCCCTCACCTTGACCTCCCAATCACCAATAGTCTTGATTATAGACTCACACTCCTCCAATTTAGTCCAAGCTTCCTCAAATTTAAGGCATATTTTCGTTTGACATGCCTTATCATGCTATCACTTAAATGAAGCAAGATAGGTCGATCTGATGTTGCCCAATCCTGATGTTGAACACTGACATTTACCCATAAATTCATGAAGGCCTAATTGCTCAAAAATCTGTCCAGGCGCTTATATATTGATCCCCCTTCTTCCTTCGATTACACCAAGTGAACAAGGAGCCTTGGAAACCCAGATCTTGCAATCTACAATCATCAACAGCTTCACAGAAGTCCTCCACAAGGGTAAAGCGCTTGCCCTTACCTCCATCTTTTTCCTCCATAAGAAGCACTTCGTTCAAATCACCCCCCACCACCCACGTCGAATCCTCACCGACATACAGCCGTCTTAAGAGCTGCCAAGTAAATTGTCTGTTATGAGATTTTGGGTCTCTATAAATCCCCGAGAACCGGAAGTTTGCACGATTCCACTTTACTCAAGCATCAATATGGAAATCTGAATATAACCTAATAGCGAGGTCAACTTCTTCCTTCCAGAGCAACCTAAGGCCACCACTTTTACCACGACTCTCCACCACAAAACACCCATAGTACTGCAAACAAGCTTTTAATTTATTAAAGGAAACAAAATTACATTTTGACTCCGAAATAAAAAGAACATGGGGATTTCGGTGACTTAATACGTCACTTACATCTCTGAACGTGCTCGGGTTCCCCAACCCTCGGATATTCCAACATAATATTTTCATGGCATCCGACAAGGCTGATGCGCAGCCTCTACCGATACAATTCCTGTAACTAACTCATCAACAAGCATCAGTTTCATCTTCTTTGAGCCTATTCTGTCTACCACGTCATCACCTTCCCTTTTCTGACCCTTCCAAGCAACAATCCCAACCTCACTCAGTCCTTTCTCCCAGGCCCTTCGCTTCATTTGTCTAACTGACTTTGGGCATCATTCTCCCTTTTTTGTGTGCAATTTGGGCCATCAACGGTAATAGGCCCCTCGAGCCCACCCTCCCTCAAATCTTCTACACTCTTTCTCGATTTAATACACTATTGCCGCCATCCACCCCAATCTCCTTGATTTTTGCCTTCCTAGACGCACCACTTATCCTTTCCTTGGAAAGAGATTCCTTACTTTCCACCAGTCTTGCCAGATCCATAAACTTCCCATCTTTTCTGCCCAAATATTTCCAGAAAAGGAAACAGAATCACCAGCCATTATGTCACACACCATCGGACTTTCCATCACCGTTTCATCCCCCGATCGCTCGCCGACACACCCCCCCTCCGGTCACCATGGCCTCCGTTTCCCCAACTTTCATCTCTTCTGTCGTCTTTACCTCCTTTTTCTCACTGACCTTTTACAGCACCCCCTCTTTTTCCGTACTCATGTTTCTACTGTTGGAGATCTCATCTTCCAAGTTTGATAGAGACCACCTGTACATGACATCCCGACTCTTCCTTCAACAAACCTCAACCTAAGCCAGGGGCCATAGGGTGCTAGATAGCCTTTTCGTCGCTCCATAGCTTCAACTGTCGCTTTACAGTCTTTGACCAGGTGTCCTAAGATTCCACAATGAAAGTAAAAATCTGGGAGTTTCTCATATTGCATTGGAACCCAGCAGGTACCACTTTCACCATCCAACTTAATCTTCATACCCCTTCTTAGCAGTTGTGTAACATCGTATTTTATCTTGACTCACAAGTTGGCCCCCCAACACAGCCCTTCTTGATCATAGTCCACTTCTTCACATTCTCCCACAGCATTACCCAGACGTGTTGCCAACACCTTGCTCATATAGTCCAATGGGAGATCCAAAAATTGAATCCAAAAGGACACAAACTTAAACTTCAACCTTGATGGCTTCATCATTCTCGGGGGTTTAAGAAGGATCAGTAAAGCTTTGTCAAAAGACCATGGCCCTGACTTAAGGACTCTGTCACAATCCTTAGCAAGCTCAAAACGAAACAAAAATATGTTATTGTCAAGGCTTTCTACTGTCAGATTCTTCTCAACTTTCCATAAGGACTTAAAAACCTTCCTCAGCACCTCGCACGATATATTTCTCATGAGAAGTAACTTCCCCGCAAGACAGGCTTCTAGTTTCCTCCCCGTTTGCTCAGTCGCCCCAACATCCACATCCACCAATACCTCATCTTCAGTGGGTGTTAAACTGAGTTTGCTCCACTCCTCTACAAGATCCATAACCCCTCACCCGTTAATAGGAAGGGAACCCCCAGAACCACCGTGTTCCGACTGCCACAGCCACCTACTATGAGAACCTTCCATACCATAGGTAGAGAGAAAAAAAATTAAATAAAATAGTTCCTAGCTATACATTTGGATGTTCAAGTACCAAATCTATAGGGATCCGTGGCTTCTGAGGGAGTCCACGTTCAGACTGCTTTCCCTAAATCCCGTTCCTGAGATGCAGTTGAGAGTGGTTGATTTCATAAACCCCTCAAAACAGTGGGATATTCTGAAGCTCAAGGGGGCTGTTCGTGATGCGGATGTGGAGGTGATCACTAACATCCCGATTAGTTATATAGGGGTGGAGGATTGATGGGCATGGCACTTTAATAAGAATGGGATGTACTCAGTCAAGAGCGGGTACAAAACAGAAATGAGACATAAGCTACTGATGCACTCAACAAGTAACAGTAACAATGAAGTTTGGTGGAGGAAGGTTTGGAAAATCCAGATGCCACCTAAAATTCAAGTGTTTATGTGGAAAGTGTGCCATAACATCATCCCTGTGCTTAATAATCTTCAGAAGAAAGGGATGGAGGTGACACCAGTTTGTCCGAGGTGTTCTTTAAAAGTTGAGACAACTGATCATGCGCTGGTTCGGTGCCCGTAGGTAAAGCAGATTTGGTGTGTGGTTCTTCCTCAGGCGGAGCTTGGGAGCCTTTTTAATGATTGCTTTCTGGAGAGATGGACGTACTGGATGCGGTATTTATCAGCTTCTGAACTGAGGTTAGCCGGAATCACGTGTTGGGCCCTATGGAATGATCACAATGCCTTGATCAACAAGAAGAAGATCCCGAAAGCTCCAATAATTAAGGTTGAATGGATTTTAAAATATGCTGAAGAAGTTAGGATGAAATACCAGAATGGAATGAAGAGAAGAATTCCTCGAGTGAATGCATGGAGGCCTCCTTCCCTAGGGGGTGTGATGAAGATGAACACAGATGCGGCTGTGTCGGCGGAGGGATCAGATGTTGATGTTCTGCTTCGTGATGGAAATGCGGAGATTGTGGCGGCCATGGTTGATTTTCATGTGGTGAAGACTCCTCTGCTGGCTGAAATTTTGGCAATCAGGGAAGGTTTGAGGCTGGCAACAAGGCTAGGGTCCATCGAATCGTGGTGGAGTCGAATTCACTTGAAGCCCTAAATTTAATTGGGGACAAATCACCATGGAAGGGAGAAGCTGCAAGTTGGATTGAAGGTATCAAAACCCTTGCTAGGGATTTTCACGAAATTTGTTTCCAGCATGCTTTTAGAGAATCAAATGCAGCTGCACATCATCTTGCGAGATAGGCTATTTCTCTTCGCCGTGGCTTCTTATGGCGATCAGATTTTCCCATCTGGTTATGTAGGTTGGCAGAAGCTGACAAACAAAACTCTATAGCCTTAATGGTTTTTTAGTTGTTTTTATTACAGCGTGTTCCGTTCAAAAAAAAAAGATCTCTCTCATTTAGATGTGATACCGGTTTATTCATGTACCCCTCCTCTCTACTCGGGCGTCACATAATAACAGCGAAACCTCTCCCAATACGAAATTCTAAAAAATGAGGTGAAACTAAAATGACCCACGGACTATTTACAAGTTAGGTTCAAATACTATTTTACAAGTACAAGACCAAATTGAATATTTTGATGGAACATTTTGAAAGTAGAAACTTAAAATGAATCAAAGTTGAAAGTACAAGGACCAAAGTGAAGTAGATCAACATAAATCAGAGCTGAAAGTACAAGGAATAAACTAGTATTTTAACCTATAAGTTATAACCAATTTTAAAAATTAAGACTAAAAGTGTATTTGAAATCTCATGAACCCAATAAGCACTAACTTCAAATTTTAAGAACCAAAATTATATTTTGCGCTAAAATTTGAAGTATAATTTTTCATAATGTAAATTGACATTGAGCTACGAATCTTAGGTCAATGTGGATTATGCCGATTTAGTCTTACAATTATTCTAATATGTTCGTTGACTTTCAATTTTGTATCTAGTAGATTTTTAATGTGTGAAGTTACTAGCCCAAAATTAGCATGCACGTCATCAGGGGTAGAGCTAGAAATTTTCTAAGGGAGGAGCAAAATTTTATATGTTTTAACTTTTTTTTTTGTTTTTTTTTGGCAAGAAAGCTTCAAATTTTGTTATCACATATATTAAGTCATAGGTATAAACTTGAGAGTTGAGAAAACTATTAAAAATATTTTAAGCACAAATACCAAATTAACACAAACTTTAAACTATACACACACATCTTTCTCTTCTATCACCGAATTTGAACATGATTTAAGTAAATATAACACATATTATCATCTTAAAGTCGATGGTTCGATCCCGCTTTGAATCGTTGAACTTTAGAAAAATGTAACATTTTCTTTCAGCCCCAAGACTGACAAATTCCTTAAATATGGGCCTTAAATAAAGGTCTAGGTCCGGCCCAAATGGTCTCTCATAGGTCCACCAGCGAGAGAGGGCGAAGAGGGGAAAGAAGAACGTTCGAGAAGAGTGAGGTTGAATCTCGTCGTCGCGTCGTAGCGCCATTTCTTCAAAAATCCTGCATCTCCCACGAAATTCAAAATCCACAGGAAGTTTCGTGCGAAGAGGCGTCGTCACATTACAGATCTCCTTCGTCTTCTCATTCAAACTTGGCGTGCGCTGCGCTTGTTCGAATCAATCAATCAATCAATCAGGTACAATCTCTGTTCTGTGATTATCGGAACAACAAGCTCGGCGATGGAGAATGGAGCAGTTTCGTCGGAGACCCAACAGGGGGCGTCCTACACCTATTGGGTCAGGGAAGCGCGGAAGGACGCCGCCCCACTTCCTGTCCCTCGCAAGCTCTCCGCTGAGGACATTGTCGCTTCTCAAGCGTCTCAGCCTCCTACCCTTGGCTCCGTCTGGAATCGGGTATTTTTGGTTTTTGAATTGCCACATTTTCTTGTTGTTATGGTCGCTCTTGATGAAGCATGTGTTATTGTGTTTTTTTGAACGATTAATTGTTCGCGTGGCTGGGGAAATATAATTTATACGAATTTAATAGTGTTTGGAATGATATTTGAAATTAGAAATTGAAGTTCGATTAAAATAAATGTTCAAGGCTTTGAATTTTAAATTCCGTAATTTGAAATACTGGGAATGATTTAAAATTCTTAATAATGCGAAGGATTTGAAATGGTCATATTTCCAAATAACTATAAATTTGTTATGTTGATCCTGGGGTTCTGGATTGTGCAATCTCTAACTTGAAAAGCATAAAGTCCAAGCTGAAGATTTTCACCCGTCTTCTCCAAATTCTTAATTTGTAAATTTGACCGGACAACTAAAATAGTGAATCCATTAAAGAAATAATCACTCGATCCCTTTTCTGCGCACATGGAAGAAATTTCTCTGCATCCGAGAAAACACTTCCCAAGCAAAATAAAATCCATTCTCTTCATCAAAGTAACCAAATATATCCTGAAGAAATTCTTCAACCCCCCAACTTTTTGACTCTGTCTGACTCTTTGCTTCTTATAAATAATCAACAGACTAAGGGATAATCCTTCTTTTTTTAGTCGGCCAAACTTGAAGAGGCTCATGGCCTAAAAAATGTTCATTTGTGACAATGCCTTACTATCCTCACCTCCTGAAGATTTTGAACTTCTGAGCTTGTTCTGGAACTTGAGATAACATGGACTCAGTGTTAATTTTTTTCTATTCATTTAGTTGGGTGATGTCGATATCATGAAGAAAGTGAGGAACAAAGTCTTAGTTTGTTTATGATTAATTAGCCTAACTTTGAGATATATCATATAGCACAACACAACAAATACTCAAAGTAAGTTAAACGTACCTCTTTCCATAGAAATGGGAGACCACAGTGTGCATCAAGGATTTTGGATATCCATTGCTTGTAATGTATTAAATGTGCAAATCTGGAGGCGGACAACTTAGATTTTCATGCATGGAATGCTACTTAAATGATTGCCTTTTGAGATGATATTTGTTGCTTTTCTTGACCAAATTGGGTTTCCATGGGTCTGATGAATTTCTTTTGTTATGGTTTCTCCTATTCATGTAGGCTGGAACATGGGAGGAGAAGAACTTGAATAAATGGGCGAGTGGTAGAATGAAGGTTTGTGACCTCAACAGGCAGCAATATAATTGTACCTTTTTTCTGCCATGCCTGTCAGTTTATCTGTTGCTGCATTTTGAACAGGATCTCTAATTTTCTCTCTTTATTTTAGGAGTTGCTAATGTCAGTGGCTTCCTTGGAGTTCTCCAGCGGTAAAGCAGAGATAGCGGATGTATCAAAATGTGTTGGAGATGTAAGTTTTCAGTAGTCTTTCTATCATAATAGGTCCATACGTATGCTTGTTCTACATATTCATCCTTTTTTTTTTTTTTTTTTTTGTGAGATTTGCAGTTTCACTGCATCAAATAAACCTGTACCAGCTTATAGTGGTATAATTCTTGAAATAAAACTGGTGCATGTCCATTCTTAATTATTTCTTGGTTTCAGGTTAATAGGCATTTCAGCTTGTATTTCTTTAAATGTAATGTGGTAAATGGTTGCCTTTCAAAAAAAAAAAAAAAAAGTAATGTGGAAAATGGAGGATTGGTTTCTATTTCTATAGTATTCTGTTTGAGTTCAAAATTTTGTGCACTTGCAGAATAGCATAACTAAGAAATAGGAATACTCTTTGAACTTGTAATTTGGCCAACTTTACTATTTTTTCATTCTTGTTTTTCGTTTTCTTTCAGGAATTGAGTTAATTCCACTACAATAATTCTTGCTATTCATATCTGTGTGGTGTTTTGCTTTTTTATATTCCTTTTCCTTTTCCTAATTTGATATAGAATCATTAATTTAGAATTAATGAGGCGGAGCTAAGGCCTAAGAAGCATGAATACTTCAGCTTGAGTAACGTGTCTGTGATGGACACTCTGACACCCCAACAATCATTAGACACGTATTAGACAATTGTTAGCTCAATAGTTATGTGCCACACACTAATTGTACAAAGTGAATATGGATCCGACACTTGTTAAGTACGTATCGGACACTTGTTAAGTATATGAGATAGATATGAATAGTAATATAAGACAAAATAATAAATTTTGAGAGTAAAATACATCCAACTCATTTTTTAAGCATAAAACTGCATGAACTTGATTTTGAATTTTCTTCTTACATACTTTAAAAATTTTATATTTTAATAAACATGGTCTTGTTGTGTCTGTATCCTAGATTTTTATAAAATGACATGGCATTGTGTACATGGTGTCACATCCATATCTCGTGTCGTGTCCTTACCCGTGCTTCCTAGAGATTTGTTACTTAAATATTACTAGTAGTTGCAATTTGCTTAGGATATTTAATTTTTAATGATAATTGGGTGCATCTAAATGAGGTTCCCTATTTTCTGGTGGTTGGATTCCCCATTTTTTTCTGCTATTAATCAATGACAGACTCTCCTGTAATCTACATTCGCATGTGCAGGCTTTTTTAGTGACTGTACGTAACAAGAAACGTGTTGGTTATACATATGAACTTACATTGAAAGTTAAAGGTAGTAGTTTACTTAATTACATTTATTTAATATCATTCTCCTTTTCCAAGTCTATGTATTCACTGAATTATCACAATTTATACATGTTTCAGGTGAGTGGACTATTAGAGAGGAGAAGAAGACGGTGAAGGGGGATATAGATGTCCCAGAATTTTCATTTGGTGAGCTAGATGACTTGCAGGTATAGCACTTTGTTTCTATTATTGGAATTTTGGGTCTGCAAATTTCTTGAATGGTATAGGGTAATAATCATGAACAGACCCATTGATTTTCCAAACGCTAGGCACCTTGGATCGTGGACCAATGTAAACAATATATTTCTTGCTTTTCCATGGTTTTGCTCACATAGTAAATTAGTCTTAGTATAACAACGTGTTAGATCCAGAGACTCAATTTGGAGAACAAAATATATTGTTCGAAAGTTTTGTTCAACACCACTAACACTTTCTTTTATTTTCCTACATGTGTTCTTCAATTATTAACTCACCCTTCATGATGTGTCATAACAACGCTTTGTTGATAAGGGTGAACCTAGGGAGTTGTGAGCCAATGTGGGGCTCAAGGAGGCTGATACCTTAGTTATGGATTTGGTTTCTATGCCTTTTGAGCATTGTCTTTGAAGAGAACTTCTTTTGACCCAATCTGACTGAAAGGGCTTATGTTTAACTGAGGGCTGAGCAAAACTTGAGCTATGCCAATAGCCCTGTTGGATATCTAAAACAATGCTCTTGTTTATGGATTTCCTGTTCTTCCAGCTAATCCAATGAATTGGTAGTTGAATTGACCAGAAATAATATAAAGCTATAACTGGATTCTATTCCATGAGAAAGGCGAAGAAGTTCTTTTGTTTTTGGTTTTTATGACACCTTCCCATGCACCCACCCCCTTATGTGGAGCAAATCCCACAATTAAGATAGTAGAGCTAGAGGTTAGCAGCAGCGTCTCATTCAACTTCCTGCTGATCATTAGAAGTTTGCCCAATTAGGCTCAACCTCATAGAAAAGTTGAGCCTACTGAAGAAAAGCTTTTGTGAAACATGTTGCTGAGAATTTGATCTATTTAATCGATGACTCGATGCGAGTTCCATCCTAAATCCAATGGTAACATAAGGGGCCATATGGTGTTGTTTAAATTTAAAGTTTTCGGCTTGTCAGCTTGACCATTTTGAGATCATTTTTGCAATAATATATATTTGGATAGAACAGATTCGTACAGGTAACTAGTAGTGATAATTTACGGATGACTTATCATCTGACAGATGGAAGTGAGATTGAGCGAAGAGAAGGATCTTCTGGCTGAGGATAAGTTGCGGGTTTGCCAAGATTTGAAACGGTTTTTGCAGCCTGTTCGCGAACAGTTGCTTCAATTCGAACAGGAACTCAAAGAAAGATAAAAGGTGCTTTCCTCTCAATATGTACTAATTATAATTGTACTTTCAAACTGTTGATTGGCAAGAATGTCTTATTGGATTCCTTTAGGCTTTCACGGATCATAATTTATGAACAGAACAGCATTTTTAAGCTGGCAGCCCTTGAGATGCTGAAATTGTAATACATCTAAATAACTGATTTGTTGTGGGAAGTTAAACTCTTGAATGTTTCAGGTAGTTTGAGGGCCTGCTATTATTTTTTATTAGGTCCCTTGGAAACAAGTCTGCTATATGTCGTGTTAGTGGGATGATATTTTTAATTCATTTGGATGGATATTCTCTCGTCAATAGGGACAATTTTAGTAAGAACTTATCTAAATAACATTATCGAAGCGAAGAACATACCTAATGTTATGATTATGAACAGATTGTTCCATATTTCTCTGCGTGACGTTCATGTTTGTTTCATGGGTAATTCTTTTAGACCTGCAGGAGTATGATAAAGACCCACTAAGATGTGAATAGATTTATATTTATCAAGGGTAATGATTTTTTTTTGTTACTCTTTTAGGTTTATGGAATTTTGGTTTTGTTGATTTTGATTCCTGTATTTTTAAAATATTTATTTTAATTTCTAGATTTTAGTTCTTGACACCTCGTTCACTAAATTTAAATTTCTTGAAACGCACTCATAAATTTATATTAAAGAGTTTTCTATTGTGTATAAAATTTGTTAAATTTTTGTAAAAAGAAACCAAAATGAATGTTTTAGGAGTATAGAAATTAAAATGAATAGAAGTTAAAAGTAATAAGTATTAAAATAGATATTTTGGAAATACAATGAAAATAGTATTTGTTTATTTATTTATTTATTATCATTACTATCATTTTTTTAAGTTTTGTCAAGTATGGTTTTTCTTTCCTGTTGAAATTCGTTAACCTAAGCTTCAAATTTAAAGAAAAAAAACTCTATCCAATTTAATATATAGTTTAAGCAAAAACAGGATTGTAGAAGTCACAACAAATCTATTTCGCAAGCTCTACCCTTATTCTTGAGAAAACGAAACTAGAGAGAAGGTTTTGGAAAGTGTTGGAAAACATTTTAGGAAGCAAGGTGACTAGGTGTACCCCTATAGTACATTACAAGACAAACTTAGTTTGGCGGCGTGAACATGTAAAGCGGCAAGGAGTCAATCACCACAAAAACACGTACAAGAAAAGGTAAATAACGTACACAACTAAATACAAAGTAAGAGGAAAGACAATATTATGAGCATGAGGCCATGGACGAGCATTACAATGACATTTTTCCCCACTTAAATGGTTGACATCCATGTCAACTGATACTCCTCAAACTCTACGATATGTGCTGCAGCTGACTTTAGGTCTTCAGCACGCTCCCAATTGATCTCTTCATCTAGGAGCTCTCTCCACTTGACTAAAAACTCTTGCAAGTCTCTCCTTGGTCGTTCGGCTTGACGTGTTCTTTTAGATAAGATCTCAACTTTTTTATCGATCCTGTTTGTCAATGTGACTACAGGTCGAGTAACTTTGTTTCGTGTCGCGTTGTCGGTGCCAGGATGATAAGACTCAGGTTGCTGATGTGTGAATCATTGGGTGTATATTCATCCATGAAAACAGTTGTACCCTGTAGGATGTCTTACTCACTTTTTGGATAATGTCAACCGGTTTTTCGTAGTCATACACAAGGTGTTGGTTTTTGTTCCCTCGGAAGCAGAGTTGTTCAGGTCGCAACTTAATGAGCACTTCGTCCCTATTTAGAACTCTAGCGATCTACTCTTCTTATTCGCCTACTTCTTCATGTGTTTGGATGCCTTCTCAAGGTATCCTCAGGCCACTTCCGTAGATTCACGTCATTCTTTAGTGAAGTTATAAGCTCGATGGCTCTTCCTTGCGTAAGGGTGGTCAGTCACGTGTAGCAACACAGACTATCACCTACACACTATCTTGAGGGAGGTTTTTCCCTGTTGTGGTGCACTTTTGGCTATTGAAGCAAAATTGTGCTACATCAAGCATCTGGATCCAATTCTTTTGTTTTGCATCGATAAAGTGGCGGAGATACTCTCCCAACATGCTATTGAAGCTCTCTGTCTGACCTAGTTTGATATCTTGGAGACATGTTCAAATTGGAGCCAAGTAAACAGAAGAGCTTGATCCAAAAGGTCCCTGTGATTCTTCCATCACAACTTGATCATTATGTTTCTGAAGAACAACTGGGTGGTCATTTCTATGGAACACATCTTCAGAGTTTGGACAAAGGCCGCATACTTAGAGAATCTGTCAATGGTCACAAGAATCGCTTCTAATTCTACATGTTCCTCCATGAGGGCAATTGAGCTTAGTGAGCTTTATCCACGTTCAAGGTTAATTGGTTTGTTTAACCTTGCTCTACAGGGTCTCAACCATCAGCTTCAGCTCATGTACAACAAGCCCATTTATGCAATCATTCACAACATCAATTTCATCAACTTTGGTGCAGCCAATATCGAAGGTTGTGAAGAACTTCCCTCAAGAATAGCAATCGTTCCTCAATCTCAATGAGTCTGTCAACAAGTCTTACCCAACTGTTTGGTTGCTGACATGGTCACTATTTTCCAACACGAGGAGTCAACTAGGCTTTGATATCAATTGTCACCATCGCACTTTGATGAAACTCTTATACAGCACTTACGGCAACCCACAAGCAAGCTAGCCAATTTGAAACAAAACTACCAGTAGCATGAGTCTATCTTGCAGCCTTCACTCTCGTTCTCGTGAAGACGGTTTTAGAGACAATGTTACGGAATTCGTTGGAAAACATTTTTAAAAACGTGTTGTAAACTTCAAAGCAATAGAGAAAAAACAACGATTAAGTAAACATACAACTCGAGATTGGAAGGTGATTAGTTATATAAGGCAAATCTAATATAGCATGTGTGAACATACAAAGTGGCAGAAGTCAATCGATACCAAAAATACAAGAAAAAGTAAATAACGTGCAAAACTAAATATATGACATAAAATAGGAGGAAAAATAGTAATAATGGCATGCGATCATAGACAACAAGCCTTGGACATTCATGCCTCAAACCACTACCCAAAGAATAGGGCCGGCTACTGGTGCTTTTTTATTGTCTGCCATGGTGCAAAAGTTAGGAATGTTAGCTACCAACGAGAATTGACTACTCCAAGCAGTTTTATTTTTTTGTCTTATACAAAAGATGTTTGGCATCATAGATTGGGTCATCCATCACCTAGAATATTAAATAAGATCCTGACCGATTGTAATATTTTGATGAAAAGTAATGACTAAGTTAAACTTTTGTGAGGCAGGTAAATATGGCAAGTCTTATCAATTATCCTTCTCTCTATCTGATTCCAGAGCAAGTAAACCTTTTGAACTAGTTCATATTGACCTATGGGGTCCTGCACCAATTAAGTCTACAAATGGAGATTTATAATATCTAGGTTTACTTGATGACCATAGTCGATTTACTTGGATGATTTATCCCTTGAAACACAAAGGAGATGCCACCTACTTTTTCCAGCAGTTTCAAGTTCAAATGGAGAACTTGATTTATCCTAATGAGTATAATACTAGAATTAAAATCATTAGGATGGATGAAGAAAGGGAATTTAAACCACTGATACAGTTTGCAAAAGGAAAAGGAATACATATTCAGCCCATTTGTCCACATACATCAGCATAGAATGGAAGAATAGAACGAAAACATCGACATTTAGTTGAAACTGACCTCACTTTACTAGCCCAAGTAAGGATGTCATTAAAATTTTGGTGGGAAGCTTTTCATATGGTAGTGTTTCTCATAAACCTAATGCCCTCTCCAACTACCGATAACATCAGCACAATTCAGATTCTTCAAGGCCTATCGCCCAACTACAATATATTAAGAGCTTTTGGGTTAGCATGCTATCCTTGCTTACGACCCTATCAACAGCATAAGTTTGACTTTCACACTGAACAGTGTGTTTTTATAGGCTATAGTGATCATCATAAGGGTTATAAATGTTTGAGTCCTACTGGTCGAACCTACATCTCTCGTCACGTGTGTTTTAATGAGACAAATTTCCCCTTTCAGCAGCTTTTTTCTTCGGATGATTCTACCACATCCTCTACCGACTACTATAAACTGTCATGGCTGCCAATTCCTATTGTTTCAGGGCATCTCGATGTAGCTTCTCATACTAGACAACATCTTAATACTTCTCCCAGATCATTGAATGATGACAGAAATCTTCCAGATCCTTTTTCACTTGTTGTCTCCCATGTTGTCACTGATATAGTTGCCTCCACCCCCTTCCCGACCCATCTCCCTGAACTCACAACACACCAACTACCTATTTTTCTCCACCAATTGTCTCCACCCCAACTGTCACCAATAATCACCCCATGATTACAAGGGCTAAACAATTCTTTGGCTGCATTTCTCAACTTCACAAACAACCTGACTTCTCCCTTATTGAACCTGCTGCCTACAAAGATGTTGTCACCCACGAAGTGTGGATTAAGGCTATAGATGAAGAATTCACAGCTCTCCTTCGAAATAATACTTGGCAGTTGGTTCCTCCCTCCTCTCATCAACATCTTGTTGGCACCAAGTGGGTTTATAAAATTAAACGTGATGCTGATGGAAATATTCAATGGTATAAAGCACGACTAGTTGCTAAGGGTTATCTTCAAACTCCTAGCATTGATTATGGTGAGACATTTAGCCCTGTGATCAAGTCTTCTTCTATTCGGATTGTTCTTACACTTGATGTTAAGAGACAATGGCCTATCAAGCAGTTAGATGCGAGCAATGTCTTCCTTCATGGCAATCTCCAAGAAACAGTGTTTATGACACAACCTGAGGGTTTCGTTGATTCATCCAAGCCTCATCACGTGTGCAAATTATCTAAGGCTATTTATGGCCTTAAACAAGCTCCCCGTGCCTGGTATGATCGTCTTCGCACCACTCTTATCCAATGGAAATTTGTCCAATCTCAGTCTGATATGTTTTTATTCATATTTCATCAAGGTAGTCTTATGATCCTTATACTCATTTACGTGGATGGTATCATTATTACTGGTTCTAGTCTTCCATTGATCAATCAAATTATCCACCGCTTACAATCTATCTTTGCTCTCAAAGACCTTGGCTCCTTGCATTATTTTCTTGGTATTCAAGTTCAAAGAAGTACCACTAGCTTATTGCTCTTTCAATCCAAGTACATCCTTGAACTTCTTGCACGGTTGAATATGCATCATCTTAAGCCAGCACCCTCTCCTATGGTTGCAGGTAAACAACTCTCTTTTCTCATGGCCAGCCTATGCATGACCCGACCTTATATCACAACACTTTGGGCTCGCTACAGTATTTGCTTCACACACGCTCCGATATTGCTTTTGCTGTAAATAAATTGAGCCAATTCTGCCAAGCCCTTACCGACTTACATTGGCAAGCTCTTAAGAGAGTGTTACGTTACCTTAAGGGTATTCTTACAATGGGTCTCTCCATACAAGCCACTCCATGGTTCACTCTCACGGGTTTTTGGATGCTGATTGGACTGGTTGCCCCGATGATCGACGTTCTGTTGGTGGTTACTGTGTGTTTTTCGGCTCCACTCTTATTTCATGGTCTTCCAAAAAGCAGGTTGTTCTTGCTCGTTCTAGCACTGAATTAGAGTACGGTGCGTTGTCCCATGTTGCTTGTGAATTGCTATGGATTCAGTCACTTCTCCAAGAATCAAGAGTTCCTTTAGCTGCTGTTCCTATTACTTGGTATGATAATCTCAGTGCCACTGCTTTGGCTTCGAATCCCGTCTTCCATGCGCACACTAAACACATTGAAATTGATGTTCATTTCATTCGTGATCAAGTTCTTCATCACCAATTACACATTCGACATGTCTCGACACATGACCAGCTGGCTGACTGCTTGACCAAGTCTCTGTCACATCACCGATTTCAGTTTCTTCGTGACAAACTTGGCCTTGCTTTTGCTGCACCGGTTTCAATTTCTTCGTGACAAACTTGGTCTTGCCTTCGCTGCTATGCCTTATTTGAGGGGGGATGTTACGACACAGTGATTTGCCACATACTGTTTGTATTTATTGCTTTCTCTGATTACTAGCGTGATTGGTGTGATTGGTCCTATAGTACTTCTTTACCCATTCATTTGATCACTGTGACCTAACCTCCTTAATTTATGGGTTGTTTAACTTCTCTAGCTTGTAAACTTCTTTTAGTCTTGCTTTTAAAGGACTAACATGGCTCAATAGAAAGTTAAGAAAATCTTCTGCTAGCACTCTTCTTTATCTTTGAAACTAAACTATTTCTTTCATTTTTATTTTACTTCATTTTCTTGAAAAATAATATTCAACAAGATATGGGTATTAATTAATAAATAACTTTATGAAATTAGATTCCTTACCAACGCATATTCCTTCTCCAAAAAGTAAGAAGGACTAATTGTTAACCTAAGCATGTGGTTAAAACATATATCCTCGAGTAAAAAGTCGAACCACCACATTACATGTTAAGTGAAAAAAAAAATGACAACCATTTTTTGATATAAACATTTAAAGAAAAATATTATCAACTGCTCAAGTTGCTCTTCTCAATTCCCAACAATATAAAGCTTAGATCACATAAAGGAAAAAATTATTCCAAATGCCATCTTCTATAAGGGACTGAAGAAATAAACTTTTATCACAATTTGGATGTGCTGTGAATAGCAAAATTTCAGATAGGGCTCAAATTCAGTCCATGATTTCCCAACATAAATGGCTGAAGCAAATATTGTACAACCTCAGTCTATGTTATATGATGCCCTCTTCTTAAGCTTGCTAAACCCAGAGTCTATACCTATTTTTCTCATCCTGACTTACCCACATGTAATAAAATATTTTTGACTTTCGATGTGGATACTAGCAGGAAAAAACTCTGAACCTCTACTTTTCTGCAACATCTCGAAAAAGCTTCCCTCTGATGAATAATACACATCGACTACGTACGTTGTTCTCAATTAATTTTAGGCTTCGGTCGCCTTGGTCTTAAAAGAACGTACAGAAGGCCGAGAACGACCAGGAAGGCAGGAATGGTTGTCCCATCAAACACGACATGTACTTCTCTCTCTCGTGAGCAGTGAATGGGATGAAGCAGAGCTAATGTAGTGTTTACTTGATCAGCAAACCTACGAAACATAAAGAAGAGAAAATTAAATCCATGTTAGATTTCAAATTCTCCCTGTGCATAATGACCGGAAAAGGGTCAGCAAGATATTTGCTATTTATCTTTCGTTCATCGGCGAGTTGCATAGAAAGAGTCTGTGTATGTGCTCTCTCATACTTATAAGATGGGTTTCTCTTTTCTGCTCATACTTAAAAATAAAATGGAGACAAAAGCTAAGCAAATATCACCGGAACTTTTTCGTGTTAACCCGCAATTTATTCTCATAATACATAGGTGGATCATGCAAAAAACTGTACATAATTAGTGCTAATCTATTCAACCATAAAGAGACGAAATTTTGCATAAAACGAAAGCAATGATTTGAAGAAGCCTACCCTTTGGATGCCTCATCAAGGACATGCAACAATCTTATTGCATCGATGTAACGCATCTCTCCAATTAAATTTGAGATCTGACAATAGAGAAATACACACATCCAATCATGAACTCACATGTTATTAAGAAACCAAGAAAATAATTAGAATTTGAAACCACATCAATTTTGGGGAGAAGGTTAAACTTACCCTTCTCCACAGGCTAACAACATACTGATGCTTTTTTACAAGCTCACGCTGCTGCGAGTGGAAGGGCTTGAAGGACTTTTCAGCTAATTTTTGTAAAGGCTTTCACACTCAGAAATTTTGATTGATATAATAACAGGGCATGTTAAAAATAATATTGATGCAAATTTTAACCAAAGAATTGAGCAAGAAAAAGAACTTAAAAAAGTGGCCTATTCTCAATTCTCACACTATCTTTAGATATATCAGATTCTGACATTCCACAAGTGTTGTACTTAAAACTTAGAGTCACGAGGGGCCGAGGGCATTTTAACATTTTTATTGGCAAACTGTGTTTCTAGGCAAGGATACTAGTACGCTCCATGAGTAAACGATGAATAGCTGAATTGACTAGCTGTATTGATTCTTCAAGGGCTGTGATGATATAACTCCGAGCAATAGTATCAGACTGAAACTGTGAAACATGCCATCCTCGGGAAGTAATGGAAAACGGGTTGCAGCCCACTGACCATATCCAATCCTGTAATATTAAAGGATGATCGCATTTGATGTGATATACACCAAGTTAGTCACGCACGAAAACAAAATGTTGGCAGCAAGATGCTGTCATTACAGACAACTCTGAAATTCTTAAAGGAACCACGCAGAGTACAAATGACTTTGGAAGTCATGAATCCTTTAAGAAAAATATAAGAACACATGAAAGTGAACATCAAAAAGAAACTATATCAATGTATTACCTACAATAGAACTGATACGAAATGCTCTAAGAATACTCAATCTATACCCGCTTCCTGTTTACCTTCATTGGTGGGAAGGAGAACAGCAAGGAGCTCACTGGGGGGGACAGAGACAGACAACTAGAAAGCCAAACAATGACTTCACTGAAGTAATTGCTTCTGAGATCCAACATTTTTTTTTTCCTTTTCACCTTATAAAACGGATCCAGTTATTCAATGTTTCAAACTGGACAATAAAACTTTCTCAGTCTGGTTACTTTTCATTTACCTTCTTGGACAAATGTTTGAAAGGAAAATATTTGTTTATTAATCCCAAAATGAATTGTACATTCAGGGAATCCTGCCTTTGTATTTATAGGCTAAGTAATTGGATATTGGGAGTAGTTCATAGTAACTACCCACTGTAATACTATTAATACTCATATAAACCTTCTAACAAGCCTGAACTAATCCGACCCAACTAAAATTAGACAAAACAATACATAAAACAAATAACAGAATTATAAAAATTTTATAATGAATCCAAACCCGTAACAAGCCTACATCACTTCTTTTCGGACATGACTTTCAATCGGTCTGAGGGTTCTAAAGATGGTTTGGGGGTGGAAGGTTTCTACTTGCTTCTAGAAGGGCAACAAACTGCAGATCATAGTGAGAGGGGGAGAGAGATTAGATTACTATGATGATGTTTGAAAGTCATATTTGCAAAAAAATAATTCAGCTTGACTAAGACTAAAACATACAACATTAGAAAGGGGACTTCGAAGAAATAAAAAACATTGACTATAGCAGTAAAATGGATAAAACTCAATTAGTGCTTTCACATACCCAAAATTATAGAATTCAATTACAAAAATATAAGTTGCTTCAACCCTTGTATTTCCATTATGTTACCTCAACTGCAGTATCATGGGATGGACTGTAAGCAAGATGGAGAGGGAGCAGACCGAAAAGATGTTCTGAAGTAGCAGACAGAGCAGCTTTGACAGGCTTCCTGCAAATTGAGAGGTATAAGAAGAAACAAACAATTAATTTTCTAAGATAATTCCTGATGATACAACTTTTAAGGTTAATAGCTCAAATAAGTGGTAAACCACTTATTCCGTAAATGAAGCAGTTCGTACTAATTTTATACAAAAAAATAGATTAATAGAAAAAACTCTGAAGCAAGCAGCGTCATGAGATAATAGTATTGTTTTTAATGAGAAAGATAACTTTCCTTGAGAACAAATGAAAGAATACAAGGAGCAATACAAAAAGGAAAGCCCCAGCCAACAACAGGAGCCTACAAGAACCAAGGTGAAAAATAAATAAATAAAAGAAAAAAGAGAAAAAGTTGAATTAAAAAAAGAGGCTCCAGTTCAAAAGAATGAGAGATAAAAGGAAAATTTTTCAAGTCCTTGGTGACGAAGACGCAAAGGGAATACGTCATACAGGGTCCAATTAACCTCATGGATGAAGATTCACCCAGTGATTCATGTGAGCAATTTGAAATCCTATCACCTGGACACCATTGATCCCGCACGTAACGAAGTGATTCGACCAGCGGTAACCTTGAACAACAAGATAGAAAAAGAAGTTGAAGAAATCCTAGCTGAAAAAACTCGTCGAGTCGGACGACCAAGAAGGGACGTATAGGAATTCTTAGTCAAATGGACAGGGCTTTCAGATGAAGAAATAAGTTGGGAGCACGCAGAAGATTTGAAATTAGCATCAACTCAAATCGCAAAGTTCGAGCAACGTCGGTTGACAGGGACGTCAACCATTTAAGTGGGGGAGGATGTCATGGTCATGCTCGTCCAGAGCATGTCGCCCATGACCACATCCCCATAACACCCTCTTCCCTCCTACTTTTATGCCATGCATTTACTTTTGCATGTTATTTACTTTTCATTGTACTTTTGGTGGCGAGTGACTCCTCGCCACTTTGCATGTTCACGCCTGCCAAAGGCAAAATGCTTTATAATGTACTATAGGGGGATACACCAAGTCTCCTCCCTACATCGAGTTGTATTCTTGTCTTGCCGCTAATCTATTCTCTTGCATTCAAGCATACAACAAGCTTTCCAAAATGTCTTCAAACGTTTTCCAAACCTTTTTTCTCTAACCCTGTCTTCCAAAACCGTTTTCTCGAGAATGGGAGTGGAGGTTGCGATATATAGCCGTGGTGCCACCGGCTATCCGATTCTCGTTAGCTGACTTGCTTGTGGGCAGGAGCAAGTGTCGCACAATCGCTTTAGGAGTCCTTTGAAAAGTGCGATCGTGACACGCAGCACCAAATTCTCCATTTTTATTGATGGCCATATGAAAGGTAGAATTGTTGCTTCTAGAGGTTTGAGACAAGGAGACCCCTTTCTCCTTTTCTCTTCCTCTTAGTTATCGATGTTTTTAGTAGTTTATTGGACGACATACATCTTTAAGGATCCTTTGAAGGATTTTTGGTGGGAAAGAGGTCCCTTCACGTTTCTCATCTTCAATTTGCTGGTGACACCCTGATTTTTTGCCAGGTCGACGACGTTACGTTTTCAAATTTGATTAGATCCATCACCGCTTTTGAGTAGCTATCGGGCCTAGCAATTAATTGGGATAAATCAGCTTTGTGTGGAGTGAACATCCTGCTTTCAAGAATTCAGCAAGCAACCCCTTACTTTAAAATGCAAGGTTGAATCATTTCCTATTATTTATTTAGGTTTGCCCTTAAGAGGCAACCCTAAGAATGCTGATTTTTGGTGCCCGATCCTTGAAAGAATTTCTAGAAAGCTAGATAGATGGAGGCGTTTCCATCTTCCTAGAGCGGCAGATTAACTTTGTGCAACTCGGTCTTGGCCAATAATATTCCATTGTATTATTTATCATTGTTTCAAATGTCATCCGGTATTTGTAAAAAAATTGAGAAGGCTATGAGGGACTTCTTTTGAGAAGGTAGCTCGTAAGAGACCTTGAAGCATTTGGTCAATTAGAAGATTGCTTCCAAGCCTTTGGAAGATGGTGGATTAAGCATTGGAGAGCTATCCCACAGAAACTCCGCATTAACTGCAAAATGGGGGTGGCAGTTTGGTAAGGAACATTCTTCTCTTTGGAGGCTGGTAGTGAAAAGTTTGTATGGTTCTGACCCTTTCGATTGGTTCACGGATGCAAAGTCTAATGGCTGTGGAGTAAAATTTTAAGCATTGGAAGAATGCAAATTCTTCAGTATTCTACAAGATTGGGACCGGCACTGGAGTGTTTTTTGGCATCACATATGGGCTGGTATTGGTCCCTTAAAGGATATTTTTCCCAGAATTTTTTCACTATCTCCTCTTCCCCACGGTGCAGTCTCTAGTTTTTGGGATCAAACTACATGTTCGTGGAATGTTAATACAAGGTCTTTGAAATTATTACTCTGCTACAGCCTACAATACAAGAAGGTCTTTGAAAGATGAGGAATTGATGGAGTTTTCACTTTTCAGCATAACAATTTTAAGCTTGGTTTCCATTTCCCCTGATGCCGATAGACGATTTTGGACACTTGAATGTTACCACTACTTAGCTAAAGCCATGTGGCAGTTACTCGGATTTATAGTTGAAAACCATCCAAAATAGGTCTCGACATTCTCGTTTACCACCTTTGTATGGCATCCAATTAAGAATGGCATGCAAAGCGATGTTTCAACTGTGTTTATTGCCATTTGAACTTGGAAACGAATCTGATGAAATTTGAAAATATTATAACAATCTGACATTATGATTTGAGGATTGCCTTGAAGTCTAACTACATCACTACCTAACTTTTTTTCTGAAAACCAAGCTTTCATCAGGATTGTCTTGAAGCTAAAAACCAAACTATACGGAACAAAAATTATGCATCATTCTCCCTCTCAGTTTTCATTGAGAAAAATGAAAGAATGCAACAAAGCATGCAAAAAAATAGCCGAATCCAAATAGAAGAAAGCTAACTATACATAAAAAAGAAAAAATAAAAAAACTCCGATCCAAGATGATGAGACGTACCAAACAATTACAAAAGTCCTTAGAGATCATTGCCCAAAAAGAAACATTAAACCTAACCAGAGACTAAATATCTTCCAGGATCTCCAAATCCCTCTAAAAATCATATTCGCTCTCTATCCAAAGGCTCTATAAAACAACAAATTCTACCAAACTGCAAGACTGCAACAGGTATTTTACTCTTAAGTATTGAAACATTGTACAAAGAGCTGATTGATAAACCAAAAACGAAAGTGTGATGGTAAAGCACTTGTAAAGAAGCAGCTGGCCGCCAAAAAAACTGATGATAGTTGTTAGCACTTTGTGACAAGTTTTTTTTTTCTTTTAACAAGAAACAAAACCTTCCATTGATGTAATGAAAAGAAACAAAAAAAATGTTCAAGGATGCAGGAAGAGAGAAGAAGAAATATAAAATATATATAAAAGAAAAGAAAAAAAAAGCAACAAACCATAAGGGTAAATGACTCCCAATTACAACAAATATCATTGAAAGAATAATAATCAAAAAGTGAGGATAAGGAGCTCCACTAAGACAATTTAATTTTCGCCAAGTCAAACCACCCCTTGCAACAGATTTTTTTTTTAAATAAATAACTTTTCTAAATGAAAAGGAAAATTACTCATGATAAAAGCCCCCAATGGAGCGATAGAAAAAAGTACAATAAAAGGACAAGCTCAACGAGGAGCAATACAATCCAGATTGAATAAGAATGAAAATTAAGAAAACCAAAAACCAGCCAACAAGAGATTCATGACCTCCTGTTTTTTTAAAAAAGAAAAAAGAAAATAAAATAGAGAGATTCTTGAAAAGGGGAGAAAATAGGAAAATAAGGGATTAAAAGTAGACATGCACTTGGTGCGCACCAACCCAAGACAAGTCATTCATTCAAATGAGCCCAGCACCTAGGATTATGGGAGTACTTTAACGAGCGAACTGTGAAAGTTGTACAATTCTATTCAAAGTCCAAATACCATAGGTCACAATTTGAAAACCAAAGATGCTCAAACTAACCTCATATCCCATAAAAGTGATTTTCCATTGCACTGCAAATGGCTTTCCCAAGATGAAATCTCTGACTGTACTACAATAACCATGTCGGAGAGTGCCTTTGCCTGATAATGTTTGTCAACTAATAAAGGTTCCGCATGAATGAACCAAAATATCGGAACTTCCAGTGTAGACATAAGAGGGGCATTCGTCCCTGCAACATCCATAATCAGCAAATCAATACTGGAAAAAAAAAAGTATGGATAATTGTAGCATTACAATAGCTCGCCAAAAAAAAGAAAAAAACTTTAACTAGTAACTACACAATCAAAAAAATTGATCATCACTCAAAGGAGTTCGATCTTCAAAAAATATATTTCTAGAAGTACCAGATATTAAAAAATACATGCATCATATTCACTTATTACAGTATTAAGGGGTTTTGCTGGCATAAATTTGATATTAAAGTCCCTCCTATTTACAATTGTTGGTCATTAAGGTACCTTGTCAGAGATGCACAAATATCATATGCGATCCTCATCATAAAAGCATTGGATGAGGTGAGAATTCAAAATTAGTGTGGGTGATCCCCAAGGTTGACTTGGAGAAAGCCTATATTCACCAATAATTAATTAGAGTTCTTAGATTCAGTCTTTTCATGGAGGGTAGATTTACAATCCTTTCACATAAAGGGTATTAATGGAAAACCCAAGGGTAATTTCAACAATCAAGAAACGTGTACAAGGGACCCTCATCTATTTGGTTGTTTATCCTAGTAACTGAACACTTTGAATAGCCTGATTTCTAGATGGGGCAGAATATTAACTTCTCTAAGAGTTTCCCCTGTGATATGAGTGGATAAGGGTCGTTGGAATGCTCTCCTCTCTCCTCCCGTAGGATCCTTAGTTAAAAATTCTTCTTCTTCTACATTTTCATATTAGAGTTGTTTTCAAGATCAAGTTGATAGGTTCTTTTTCCTTGCGTCATCTACTGCATATAGCCTGAAAATGAATGTTATTTTGTTGAAGATATGGATATTAATGCTTTGCTGCGTTTTTGTTAATCTCATTTATTGTGGTTTGAAAATCACTTTGTTGATCTGATGCAAATCCCAACTCAAGCGTACTTCTTAAAGCAAGAAAGATATGGTTATGGAACATGTAGAATGCAAAAGATGAGAATTAATTAAGATTATATGTTGAATGTGTTGTTTGGCCACTTTCTAGAGGAAGAAAGAGCATTGTGATCTATGTAGCCTGCACGATACAACAGTGGATGGCTAGCTTTTTGGTGTATGCCGGAGATTTGTTAGGAAAAGGAAATCTTGTTCAAAAGAACCCATCTGATGAAATCAAAGGCTTATGCCGAATATATAGGCAAGACTAATCTTAAGAATCAATGTTTTTTTAGAGAAAAAGCTGGGGAAATTATGCCAAATCCAAGAAAAAAGTTACTAGATTTTTTTTTTCCTCAACAAGATACGAACTCCTCATTGATTAATGAAAAGGAATAAAATTGTACAAAGATATAAACTCTCAAAGGAAGGGAAAAAAACAAAAAGAAAAAGAGAATGAAAAAAGTGGTACAACCCAAATGAGCAAAAGAGTAAAATGATAAAGATCAAAATAGCTTCTAAAAGAAAAGGTTACTTACAAGGTTAAAAAGAGACCTATAATAAATCGGAATATTGGAAATAACTGATTGGCATAAGTTGGCGATAGGAATCTGACATGATATATATACTCTAATTGGGGGGCTTTCCTTTTCCCTCCTTAGATATGCATAGGATGTCACTCTATATTTCTTTTTCTTTTTGGAATTTCAGCTTGTATCTTTTTACTTTTTTGCTATTTTGTTCTCTTCACTCCCTTGGAGTTTGTATCTTTGAGCATTTTCTGTTCCTTTTCATTTATCAATGAAAATTTCGTTACTTGTTAAAAAGAGAGAGATAGAAAGAGAAAGAGAGACACTCAAGATTGTATCATAGGAACGCAATGTTGGAGGAAAAGGTTACCCACCTCACAACCTTCCCTATGTCATATTCGGTTTTATCCCTAGGCCATAATCCTAGGGCTCCTTTTTGGGATCCAGTTGTTCAGGTTCAAAATAAATTTTCCTCTTTGAGAAAAGCTTTCTTCTCTAAAAGGGGAAGACTTACATCAATTCAGTCAGTATCAAACAAAAGCCCTTTTATTGTCTTTGTCAGTTCAATTAAAGCTCAATCGGAAAATATCATGGGAGACTTTCTAAGGAATGAGCTGAGGAGTGTTTTAGGTCTCATTTAGTTAATTGAAATGTCATGTTGAAACCTGCCGAGGGCGATGGTCTTGGATAGGAAATCTAGGCAATAAAAACGTAGCCCTTCTCTCAACATGGTTGTAGAAGTTCCAGCTAGAACCCAAAGCTCTTTAGCATAAGATAATTGCCAGCAAGTATGGGTTACGTTCTAATTAATGGCTGAGAATCTGGTTTAGGTTAAGGCACCTCTAGAAACCATGGAAAGAGATTCTCTTGCCTTTCAGATTTCCAATCATTCACCACTTGCTCAGTAGGAAATGATAGCAGTCTAATTTCGGGAAGATCCTTGGCTTTATTTGGATCCCCAGCCCTTTCAGTTCTCAGTTTTTTATTCTCTAGCTCTTTCTAAAAATTTCACAATTTGCTGTGTTTTGTTCTCTGGCACAATTTCCTTCCTATGAGTTTCAATTTCTTGATCATGAGGTTGAGGAGCTTCTCTTTTGCTTCACTTGACGTGTATTTCCCATAGTTACGAAGATCAACGGTTAAGATCTCTTTAACCGTCTAAATCCTTTTCTTCTAAGTCACCATTTATTTTTTGGTTTCCTCTTCGGCTCCTATTAAATCACTCCTTAACTCAAAAACCTAAGCCGATGGACTACGGCAAATTTAATCATTTATCTATTTGAACACTCCCCTCACTCATGCACTTGAAAATTTGTGAAAGGCTCAACAAGTGGTATTAATTGGGGAGGAAACAACATTCCAGAGTTCGAACACAAGACCTCCTACTCTAATACCATGTTAAATCACCACTAAACCCAAAATCTTACGTTGATTGGTTACAGTAAATTTGGTTTTCTTATTAAAAAAAATGAAGAAAAGAAAGATTGGTTATAGTAAATTTAATCATTTATCTACTTTAACAGCTCACTCCCCATCTCTAGAGTGAATAAGAATATCTACAATCCAATTTTTTTTTTTTTAAAAAAAAAAATATATATATATAGTGAAATGCGGCATCGTAACCTTTATGGGAATGATCCAATCTTTGTAATTGATACTGAAGTATAGATGAATCAAGATAGGTACGAATTGTTTTTCGATAAGTTCCATTAACAAGCAATAGTGGAACAGCTGCTGAACGTCGTGCCACTGAGAAGGCCATTGCCAAAGCAGGATCGTCTGAGAGTGGTAACCTACAAAACATATTTACAGGTATTGGAAGAACTATAATCCCAATATAAAAATAACCATTACATTACCGAACATAATTGGATATGGAATACAAAAGGATAGATAAAAAACAAGAAAAAGAACGTTTCAAATTAACAAAATCCATGAACTAAAAGATGAAAATACTCGTTTATAACACTTGTAAGACACATGAATTTGAATGTGTTCAAATGAAAAAGTTATGCATTACCAATTGCTGTGGCAGGGAGCACTAAGTGTGCCTGATAGCTATCCACGGAAATGCACAACCATCTATATAAGTAGGCCAAGTTAGGCAAAAGAGATGGATGAATGGGAAACTTTATTGCTCGATCTGGAAGAGAGAAGATAGAAGAACATGACCGTAGAAGTAGGAAGTTGGATGGAGATGGGTTATCCTTGGCTAAGTTCCTCTCAAATTTCTAGGTGGAATGGGAATTAGGTCTTTGGCAAGCTTTTCAACAAGGAATTGTAGCATTTAATGTTTCCAAGAAATGTGAGGTACTTTAATGGCTTCGTTCTCTGGGTACGATAGCATTCAGATGAGAGATCCAAATTACAATCTTAACTTGAATTGGTGCTACCTAATATAGAAAGAATGTAGAATATGTAAACCGTCTCTTTATGTTTTGTTCATGGTTTCTGTCATGCTGGATGTTTCATAACTTCCCATTGTTTTAAAAGGTGACCAAGACATGTGCCTAAGAAGAAGAAGACCACTCTGTTTGTGCTTCACACTTAAACTCCAAAGTGCTATATTGGTCAAGGTCATAGCATCAAGGGCACAGCCATTGAGGCAAAGGCAGCAGTAGGAGAGAGATGAGGCCTATCAGGGGAACTTCGTTTGCAGCTTGTCTGCAATGTTCAAACCTCTGTAGAAACTAGAGCACAAAAATAATTTACTTTCTTCGGGACTTTAAACAAGGTCCCACACCTCCTCACTCAATCTCTCCACCCCTCTATGCTTGATTTCTTGCAAACAAACAATATCTGGCACTAATTTAACAACAAAATTTTTAATCAAAGCTATTTTAGGAGGAGCTCCCAACCCTCTAAGATTCTATGACAGGATCTTCATAAAGAAACTTGGGAGCCCAAGACTACTTCCTTTCCTTTACTCTTCGCTTCCTTCTCTACTTCCCTTTCCCAAATTGACAGCAAGTTTTTCAGCTCTCTCATTCCTTTTCCGTTGTCGTGCTCCCTCCATTGGCAGCTTTCCCTTTGACGGGGGCGGGTCTAATACACACATTATTTTTCCGTAGAACCACCACCATTTTCTTCGTGAGAGGAATCTCTAAATCATCCTCCTCTTCCTTTACCTCTATGGAGACTTCCTGAGAATTTCCTACCATTAATGGATGACTTTCGAAGCCAATCTCCTCTACCAACATTATTCCTCTTGTCTACGGCCAAAGTTTTAAAGATAGTTCTAAAATGGTGATTTCTTTTGAGGGTGTTACAGAATCTGTTTTTTTTTTCTTTTTTTTTTATAACTGGGAGTTGGAGTTTTGCTCCCCTGTACCCAAGCGCACCCGCCCCAAGGTATTATAGAATCTGTTGTTTTCAAAAGATATTCATCCTCTTTGTTGCGATATTATCAATTCAACTAATGGAAATGCTTTTAAAGGTGCTTTGGAGGAGGAAATTTTACATCTTTAGTGAACATTCAGTTCTTAGTATCAGTACTGTCAATTCTTTGAAGGTTTTTTTTTTCTTGAAAGGAAACTGAAGAATATATTAATCAAGAGAAAATATTAAAAAAGTAATAAAATAATAAAAAAAAGGAAGATAAAATACCCATAAGCCAAAGGGTTACAAAAAGGACTCCCAACTGGCCAAAATATGAACAAGATCGTAATTACAAAAGGGTTTAGAGAAAGAACACCAAACGGATGCAAATTTGAATGGCTTATTGATGAGTTTTTCAAAGATCCAATTTCAGAAAATATCTCTAAGGAAGTTCCAAACGAATTTTCAAATATTATCAAGGATCTTTCTCATTTTTTTGAGGATGCAATAGGTCCTTTGTCTAAATAGGATTTTGTTTTCCGGTCTCACACCAACTCCTTTCCAGTAGGTTTTCTATCTGAATGAGTTAACGTAAAGTAAGGAAGGAGGCATTTGAAAGGCCAACCACTATATCATAGGCCTTCTGATGGGAAGGCCAACGACTACACAAACTCTATACCAAGTCATGAGCAATAGAGAAACCAAAGTCAAGCCTACAGACTACCTCCCAGACTCCAAAATCTAACTCAAGCAGTCTAACCCCAGGGCAGGACTGCAACTGAAAGGCGTTGTTTCATGTTAGCTCAACCTCTTATTCATTTTTATGATAAAGAAATCTCCTTTTGTGATTTTAGCCTTTCGCATTCTCTTTTTTGTTCCTCGTAAAGTTGTAGAAGGGTTGGTACAGCCTCTCCAGTTGGTGTACTCAGAGGTTTTTCTTCCACGTTTTATCTTTTGGACAGTGGCTCAGAGTTCATCTTGCACATTGTTGGAATGTCTTAGCTTCAGCAGTTCTTTGGTTTTGTGGTTTTGCTTCTCAATTAATTTTGTATCTCATTTCAGAGGCTGTTTGCTTCACCCTTGAGCACTTTTTTCTTCAATGTTTTATCAAGGCTATTGTAATTTGTGGGCATTTACGCTTTTGTTGGTTTTGTCGGTCATTCTTTTCACTCTTTGGTGAGTTTGTATCTTAAAACTTTTTTCTTTCTTTTCATTTATGAATGAAAATTTCTTTCTTGTTTCTTTGAAAAAAAAATAATAATAATAATAAATTGATAAACCAGGCACCTACATGGTTTGACTAAATAGAGCTTTCTGTGAAGGTAACAACAAAGAGGAGAGTCCATCCATTAGAGCTTTAAGATCCACGGGCAAGTGTTTTATTTGTCTAACTTTCTGCATCAGAGGGTTTGACGATGATTAATATATATTACACATCCTTCCATGAATTTAGTATTATGCACCATACCTCCTGCGTGATGAAAAACAATTGAAATGATACTTTCTCAAAATAATGGAATGACCCATCAGAAAGTGAAGGTGATATAATATGTCTCATAGACCCCCAGAGTGTAGAACCTAGGTGAGCCAGAAAAGTATCACGTGCTACACTGTAGTTCTGGAACTCCTGCATGGCACAAGAAATTAGTCAGATAAATATGCATGAAATGTTGCACAAAAGTGAAAAATAAAACAACCTATAAACGTCCGGCAGTTACCTCATATGTATCACTAAATAAGTTCCAGTTCTCCATCCGTTTTAATGCATCTATCGCCTTCCTCTTATGATTTTCATCATATTCTTCCCCTTCAAATGACTGGAGCTCATTTTTCAAATCTCGCATCCTCTCATCAAGTTCTGGGCAAATAAACACAAAATACTACTTTTGGCCCAAATTAACTTAAAATCAAACTATTATACAAGATGCATCCTGATGTAGTCTTTTTTTTTTAACAAGATACGAACTTTTCATTGATAAATGAAAATGAACACAATTGTTCAAAGATACAAACTCCCATGGGAGTGAAGGTACTGGAAATAAATAAAAGTAAGCATTAGAAGAAATAAAAACCATAAACTTAAAGAAACCTCCTTAAAGGGGAGTTATAAAAGCCTCCCAATTCATACAAAGCATACTAGGAGAATAAGAAAAGAAAAGATCAGAACGAACACACCATTGGGAGGCTTTGAATTTGGCGATTGAGAAACACTCCATAGGAGATCGATTCTTGCTTCCAAATATTCGTTGATTTCTCTCAAACCATAATTCGGAAAGAAGAACTTTTATTCCAAAAGCCCAAAGCAGATTAGTTTTACAGCTTGCTTGCAGCCCACTAAAAAGCTGAAAAATGATTTGAGGCACCTCCAAATCCCACACCGATGAAATTCCAAACATAGATAGGAATTTTTTCCAACAGACCACTGCATAGCTACATGAGAAGAAGACATGCCTTTGGGTTTCCCCACTTGCTTTGCACAGTAAACAACATGATGGC